GTCTTACCCAATTTTTAATAGCATGTCATGTCCAGGAAATGCTTCTCCGTTGCTTGTACAGAGGCATGAGACTGTCATTGCCAACTGCAAGGAAAAACATAACTTCAATGAAAACACTATAATTCCAGAGCTAGATACAGTGAAGGCATCAAAAAACTGGTGAACCAAAAGAAAAATGATCTGGTTTGTAGTTGAGCTGCAGTATAGCAGTCAAGAACAATAAGTATTCTTTTAGTCAGTATTTCAATGCAAGCCTGTGGCCCAAAAATAATCATCAACTCCAGTGTGAAATACTATTATTTAAACCGAAGTTACTGAAATACTATTATTTAAACCGAAGTTACTCTGAATGTACGATACAAAAAAAGTAAATGCACACATTGTTCAGGAAAAAGCTTGAGAAGTTCACCTTTTCAAAAGTAGTTTCCCCTATTCCTATTTTGTAGAGTTCATACACCATGGCAGTCAAAAATATTTTGACTCAGCCTAGAAGAAGTTTTCATCACCTGCCAGGAAAAAACGAAGAAAAGAATTAGCATTAACATATCTCTGAAGAAGGTAGAGAGAATTTTTATTAAATTTTTTTTTTTTTGTTCTTCCAGATACAACATAGATAAACAAAACTTCCTTTCAACCCAATAACAATTTATGCAGCTAAAGTTGTATGGAATTGAATGCTACTAGTGCAGAAATTCACTACTTTAAACCAACATCGGATAATTTGGGTCCTGAAAGCCATTTTTCACCATGCTACTCTTTTAAAGAATGGCACTTATAAGATTTAGCAAACTCCAACTGACACCATTTTCATCTTTGTTACTCGACCAAAAAACTATGTAGTTATCTGGATCTCATGTATTTCATATTAGTAATGCATATTAACGTAGTAATCACTGCGTCATATGCCTCACTCAAGGGTATTGATTACCTCTTCTAAGATGTAACATACCATTTAAATAAAAGAAGTTTCACCAACAGAAATCATTTTTCATCATGACTGTAGGATATAATCTGACTCAATTGAATATGAGGTGCCTGGAACATTTCTTGTATGGTTGCTTCAACCTCTGCCATTCCAACAAGTGATTTTCCAGCAAAGTAGGTACATATAAATCCTGTAAGTGA